ATGTCAAGCCCATAATCTGAGCTTCGTATGTAGGAAGTACCTATACGTGAAGCCCATCTAGGTATTTCCTCATGCAATAAGAAATACACGAGTATAATTAATTAGAACCCAAAGGGAAAAAATGGGTACCTAGTAAGAAAGAAAAACCTCTCTTACCAAACTTCCATTGCAGGTTTGTGCACACATTTGATTATTATGTCTAACAATCATTACTCACGCAAGTTTGTATCCTTTCCATTCTTATTGAAATTTAGGAGGTTTATATTAGGTACCACTTGCTGTAGCCATCTTTACACCCCAAACAAGCCCACATTTCCTATGCTGAATGATGCTATTTGTTGGGTAATGGGAGAGGTCAGCATGACTAGGATGAAGGGTGTCTGCTGGGGAGGATGGAGAAGTAGGGCTGTGGGCTGAGGGTGAGTTTATGTTGGGGCTTGCCAGCTGAATAGAGAGATTGCATGCCGATGCAGTATGGAAAGAGGAGCCATGGAGCTTTGGGGCAGATGGGTAGCAGAACTGCGTTTAAGGGATTTTCCTGGCATGGAATGAGAGCAGGAGAAAGCAGAGCCAGGGAGATAAGTAAAGGAAAAGAAATTCTGGCCAGGTGCGGGATGCTCTACGGCCTGTACTCCCAGCACTGTTGGGAGGCGAGGCAGGTGGATTGCCTGAGGTCAGGGGTTTGAAGTACCAAGCCTGTAACATTCTGAAACCCTGTCTCTACTAAAAATACAAAAAAATTGGTGGCGGTTGCCTGGTAATCCCAGCTACCCAGGAGGGCTGAGTCAGGAGAATCCCTTGAACCTGGGAGGCAGAGGTTGCAGTGAGCCGAGATCGTGCCATTGCACTCCAGCCTGGGCCACAAGAACAGACCTCTGTCTCAAAAAAAAGAAAAGAAATTCTCTTGCTGGGAGTTTTATGACGCCAATCTCAAATACAAGAGCCAGGAACTATATCGTCTAAAATCATGTTCCCTCTACACCCTGATAGCATAAAAATTTCCTCATTGTTTATTCATTCTGCATGAGCCAACACAAAAAAGAGCTATTAGTGTCATTGCTGGGAGCAGAGATACCATAAGTTTCTTCAAAGACAGACACCAGGACTTTCATCTTCACATCTGTAGTCCTTGGAATATAGTAGGTCTTACAAAAACATTTGTCAAGGGAGTGAATAAAAATAAAAGTGAATGAAAATGAAAGCAAAATATACTTGAGGATATAGTTTTTCTTGGACCACAAGTTAAATGCCAATGGATAACTTCAGATTCCTAGCCATGCATCTTTTCCTCTGAGAACTGGATAGCTGGAATAACAGACCACTCCATTTCCTTTCTGACATGCCACATTGAATGAACATCTGCTAAGAACCAGAAAGTGCATGAAGAAGTTTGTCCATGAAATCACTCCATACCCAAGTGGAGGAGAAGCAGCTGTGGACTGAAGGTAAGCTGTGCATTTCCTCAACTGGCAAATGTCAAGCCCATAATCTGAGCTTCGTATGTAGGAAGTACCTATACGTGAAGCCCATCTAGGTATTTCCTCATGCAATAAGAAATACACGAGTATGGGGACCCATGAAAAAAGCCTGCCATAACTCTGATAGTGATTTATTTTCAAAGGCAGAAGAAAATTTTAGAAAACATACACATAAGATACATGACAGCAAGTTTATATATTCAGAAATGTCAGTAGATTAAAAATCAAAGAAATAGGATGGCAGTACCAATGTCTCACAGTCCTTCAGAGGAGCTGTGGCTACAGCCAAAAGTCAGAGCGAAATGTGGAAAATCACTGACAGACTGGGACCATGGGCAGGAAGCCTTGAAGGACTGGGTCAAGCAAAGGCAGAACTGGAGGGCAGGATGCCTGTTGAGAAGACCTGATCTAACTATGGCTACATTGGAGACGCCCCCGGAGGAGTTATGGAGTGAAAGTTAAGGGACCTGAGCCAAAGTGTCCCAAGTCCAGAGGCTTATGAATAGGAACCAACTCTTCCTTGGTATTAAAGGGGCAGCCCTCTGGGCTGGTTGGGTGACTTTTATCCAACTGCCCTAGACCTGACCACTTACTACTGAACATATTTTTAAGGATCTCTTTAAATCTATACCTCTTTTTTAGAGGGCCCATTTCCTAGAGGAGGCAGTGCAGCAGAACAAATAATGAAACAGTTGAATTCTGCTTCATCCATGCCTGCCAAGCCACAAGAATGATAAAGATACTCACGTTCCACAAAGTATGAGCTGGCATCGATCTTCCAGATGATCTGGCCCCGATGAGAACCATTGACTCCACGGTTCTTATAGTCCAGAAAGTTTTCGGACAAGACCTCATCTATATTCCCAGAGGAAGAAAGCAGAGCAGAGAAACATATCAGTCAACAGCATATTTAGGGAAATAAAACAAAACAAGCAAAGGATACAAATGCTGCTTCCATCTCAACAAGAGAGAAAGCACCTGGAATCAGAGAGCAGGAAGCATCCCAAGATGCCACTGGGATCAAACGCTTTTTATGCAGGGATCTCCTCCCAACCCCATAGCACTCCTGGCAGGAGATCATCTAGCTGGTTCTGGAACACCTCCAGAAACAGAGAAATAATTACCGCTATTGCGGTTCACTTCACTTTTAAATAGCTCTTCCATGTGTGAAAGCTCAGTGTGAAAATCTTCCTTCTAAAGCTTCTACGAACCAATTTGAGACTGAGGGCGAGACATAAAGAAAGTCTTCATTTGGGGTCTGGTTCTCATGGACTCCACCTCCAATCATCTCTCCTCCCACCTGGGCATCACCACCGTCCTACACATGGTCGCACCCATGAACTTATCCATCCATCCATCATGCACTCATGCATTCATTGTTCATTCAGCAGCTGAAATCCAACCATCTGCCAGATGCTGGGGAAGGTGCAAGGGCTGTGGTGTTGGGCAAAACCAGTATGGTCTCTTCTGAACCAAAGCTTACAAACAATTGAGAAGACAGACTGTATAAAGCAAAGGAATAAATGTTTGATTGTAACTTGTGATAAGAGATGGAAAGGAGGCCGGGCACGGTGGCTTACACCTGTAATCCCAGCACTTTGAGAAGCCGAGGTGGGCAGATCACCTGAGGTCAGGAGTTTGAGACCAGCCTGGCCAACATGGTGAAACACCCGTTTCCAATTAAAAAAAAAAAAAATTACAAAAATTAGCCAGGCGTGGTGGCAGGCAGCTGTAATCTCAGGTATTTGGGAGGTTGAGGCAGGAGAATTGCTTGAACCTGGGAGGTGGAGGTTGCAGTGAACTGAGATCATGTCCAGCCTGTTTACAGGGCGAGACTCTGTCTCGTCAAAATAAAAAAAAAAAAAAAGAAAGAAAGAAAGGAAAAGAACAGGGTGCTGTGATAGAGAGTGACAAGGAAGGAGGCCAGAGGGTGGGGTGGGGGGTGGTCAGGAGAGCGCTGAGGGAGGAGACGAGGCCTGGGAGGAGCTCTGGGTGACTGTGCGCTTTCACCTGTTGCTGTTCTCTGCTCATCACTTTGCAACCCATCGATGTCCTCTTTAAAACCAGTGCCCAGAGAGAAATGCAGCATTCTTGGGGAGGACAGATCTGAGAATACCAAGCTGCCTGTCACCTTCTTGGTTCCAGACCCCACACTTTCAGTGCAGACTAAGACATGGATATGACTTTTACCCTGATCTTCTATGGAGCCCTTGTAGTTTCCACTTCACCAGAAATAATTTGAGCTAGATGGATCTGAGGCTATGGAGAAAACCAAGTTTTGAGAGTCCAAATCCACTGTAGGGGCTGGAGGGACAACCTGGGCAAGGGCACCCGAGGGCAGGCCCAGAGCCCCAGCTCTGCAGAGAGCCCTTTTCATGATTGCCCTTTTCTCTCCTGATACCCTGTGGTTCACATGCTGCATCTGGCTGGACTGAGAAAACAGGCAGAGATGAAGTGCAAAAACCACTGAGCTTGAAGCCAAAGGGCCCAGCTCTTGAGGCCTTTTGTGCCATTTGCCAATAGTGTCACTTCTACAGTCTTTCCTCATCTGCAAAGTGGGGAGTAGTAATAACTTCAGTCTTACAGGGGAGCACTAAATGAGATAACTGTAAGCGTACTTGTAATCTGCTCTGTGGATTGCACATTTTAGGCTGCCCCTTCTCTGGCAAAAAAAAATGACTGGGCAAATGAACACTCATTACTGATAAGAACTGTTTGTATCCTTTGGAAAATCACTTGTTTGCAAAATTTGCCTGTCTTTTTATTCACAGTGTGTGCTCACAGCCCTGTTTGGGTTACCAAGAAGATTGCATAATACATCTTTTACAGTAATTGCCTCATTTCTGCAAAAAGGCGTAATATTTTGCTAGCTCCCTGGGTCTTCAGCACAGATATAACAAGTCTCACACCCAGGTAGAAATTTGCCTCATTATAGCAGTTCTCCAAGGGATGGTATTTCCCTGAATTTCTCTACTCTGACCACTGGGATATTCCCTTTAATGGTCATGGTGGGATTTATAGACAATAACACCTGGAAGAAGGATGTTCATTCATGCATGAGATAATGGGTATTGGGTACTTTGTTCTGTTCCAGACATTGTGCTAAACCCTGGGGATACGTTGGTGAACAAGACACGGTCTGTGTTCTCAGGGAGTTTCTAATATATTTGGAGATTTATTCAAGAAAACAGGTAATTTCATTAGAATATAGAATGTACAAAAGGGGATTAATTATCAAGGAACTACAGGAACATGAATGAGAAAAGGATGAAGGGGAGGTGGGAAGAATCAGAAAAGGATGATGAGGATGGCAAAACACACACACACACACACACACACACATTAATGAGAAAAACATATTTTGCTGTAGACATTTAAACACAATACATTTTAAAGGACTGGCCACTAGTCTTGGTAAGCATCCCCTTCCCTCACACTAACAATAACATTTAATCACAAATATCATGCAAGAAAAATAGAATAGTCTGTATTCTTGCCTGGGCCATCTGGGCTGAGAGGTCAAACCCTTCCCCACAGGCAATTGTTACGAATTGTTAGAAAAGTTACTAGTCTTTGCTTAGGAATCAAAATGCATTGACAGGGTCAGTTGCAGAAATCCAAAATCAGTCTACATATTTTATGCAGAAAGGGATTTAATGCAGGGAATTCAGGGCTGGAGAAGTGGACTCTAGGCAGGGCCTCTGCAATCAGGATAACTGCCTAACTGGCTCTCCAACGATGCTGATGCCTTTGTCTCACTCACAAGGGCTGCCCTGGGACCTGCTGAATATGACTGCTCAGTACAGTCACTGCAATCTGGAGAGCAGAAGGCTGCTGTCCAGGCCATGGCGGCATGGCGGCTGCCTCTCCACCCGCGAAGACAGTGACCAGCCAGTGGCAAGCGGAGTAGGTCACTGCCTGCCCCCACCTCCACTGCCTGTGGGTGTCCAGGAAGCTAGAGAGTAGACTCGGGACACTGCTGCAGAAAAGCTCCATTTCTCAAGGCCATGCTTGTAGCAGCCACAGGCCCAAGAGCAGGATCCCCACATTTCACATATTCACCTTCCGGATCTTGCACGGGTGCAGCTAAATGAATCGAATTTGCATCCAGAACGTGGTTGCACAGGAGTCTGGGAAATGTAAATTTAGAGGATCAGATTCTGCACTAGGAGAAGGCACAGGAGATGAGAGGAGAGAGGAGAGAAGAGGGGAGGAGATGGGAGGGGAGAGGAGAGGAGGGGAGGGGAAGGAAGGGGAGGGAGGGAAAGCAAGGGGAGGGAAGGGGAGGGGAGAGGAGAGGAGAAGGGGGAGGGGAGGGGAGGAGAGAGGAGGGGAGAGGAGAACTGGAATGGATGCTGTGGGCCAAGCCACACTCTCCACATCAGTGTGGAATGGGTGCTCTGGGCTCTCTACCAGGAGGCTGTTATTTTCTGCATTCTTGTCATGATGGAAGCCTCTTTGTGGGAACAATATTACATCCCCTTTGAGGCAGGAAGCTTACATCTACCATTACTATGTGATCTTAGGCAGTTGATTTAATCATTCACTACAAAATGGGGATTAAATACTATAAGTACCTACCTCAAAATCTTGTTGAAAGGATTCCTTGAGCTAATACAGCTAGTGATCTTAGACCGGTGTCCAACATCTAATAAGCAGCTATTTCTGCTTAGAATCTGGGCTAAAAATAGGACCCTCTATTGCAAATCCCTGTGATACTTACTATGTAAAACCATTAATAATAACTTGAAGCACTAGCTCACATCAGTACTGTTTAAGATTTTGTCATCGTACATTTTGTACAGAACATGTAGAGATCAGTTCCTCAAGAAAAGATTATATTTTCTGAGTGGTATGCATTTCCTCTGTTGTGTAGAATCATACCACCTGCTCCTCATTTTATAATAGAGAAAGGAAAAGGATTTTTGTGGATTATTAAAATTTTAATCAGAAAGTTCTAATGAAGCTTACAGAAACAGACATGCTTAAGAAACAAGTAATATATTTTCTCTTGATTTGTCTTCAAAATAAAAATTGTAGCTATGGTTTCCATGCCACAATCTATAATAGAAGAGTGGATAACAAACACGCTATTGCTGTTAGGAGTGGAATAAGCAAGTGAGCCTATAACTGATTAAAAGAGAGAATCAATATGCTACCCAGGTCTCCTACATCCATCAGAAAAAAGATACGGCTTCCATTTTTCAGAGTAATTCAGGCTTTCGGACAACCAAATCTTGGGAAAAAATCTCTGAGGATTCTCCCACTGTGGCTGGACCATGACTTCACTAAATAATGGGACACAGCTGGGTGCGGTGGCTCCCTCCTTTAATCCCAGGAGTTTGGGAGGCTGAGGTGGGTGGATCACCTAAGGTCAGGAGTTTGAGACCAGCCTGGCCAACATGATGAAACCCCATCTCTACTAAAAGCAGAAAAATTAGCCAGGGGTGGTGGTGCATGCCTGTAATCCCAGCTACTTGAGAGGCTGAGTCAGAAGAATTGCTTGAACCTGGGAGGCGGAGGTTGCAGTGAGCTGGGATCATGCCATTGTACTCCAGCCTGGGCAACAGAGTGAGACTCCATCTCAAAATAATGATGATGATGATAATAATAATAATGGGACGGGAGATATGGGGAGAATCTACTTGTTTTTCTTACTACTAAGTCAATGATGTAGAAGCTCCATTCTCTTGTAGAAGCAGGGACTCTAAGCATAAAGTGATAGAGGAGCTCCTAAAAATCAATACCACTTTCTCCCCTTCTGTGGCCTTTCCTTCACATTGTTTCTTTGGACACACGAATTCTGTTTGTGCCTTAACTGAGAAATACAGCCGCTGCTCTTTTAGATTCTAATAGGGTGCCTGATGTAAAGCAAAAACTTTAATTCTTCAAGAGTTGGGTTCCATAAATCAGCAGCCACACTTCACCTTCCACATCCAGGTATCTTCCCCCTCTTATAGCAGAACAGTCCTATTTGCTTTGAGAGCTCTAGAAGTCCTACCATGCTGAAAGCATCACAACTCTGGCCTCTCCTGGACATCTGATGGCACATTGATGTGCCACGGCCCATACCCAACACTGTACCACAATGCTGTGCTAGTCCTGTGGCAGCGTGAGTCTTGAGCCAGGGGAGGCAGCTGTGCGACTGTGGGAGCCACTGACTTGACATCTCCTCATTCATGAAATGACAGATGAGATGAAATCACTGTCTCTACATTTCTCGGCCTAGATCTCTGATTTGATCTCTGGCAAAGCACGGCAAATGTGGAAGATAAGCTACTAAGGACTTACACATTATTGACTTTTAAGATTCACAGACAATTTCGGATTTGGAAGTTATTTTTGAAATGCTATGCCATTGAAAGTGTTGGCATTTTGCATTACATAACTTCACAGTTATATATGTGTAGCTACAATGAGAACAACAAACTGTCAAATTAAGGTTCTAGAATGATGAGTTGTGGTTACTTTTATCTCAGTCAAAATGTCATGTTAACACCAGATCTTATTCATTCATGGAGTTTCGTAATACCTGATACAGCTACCCATCCCCTCCTCTATCTCCCTCTTCTTTTGTTCTTTCCAGTCTCCTAGTTGTCCTGCCTCTTCACCACCTCCTCCTCTTCTGTTTGAGTTCCTTGCCTGCCTCTCCCCTGCCCCTCTCTCACTGTGACTATCTGGTGCTCTCTTTCTGTACACAGCACTAGAGTGAGCTTATCCACCCCCAAGATGTCTGTTACCCCAAATCTACAACCCTAGCTTGGATCCCTGGCTGAGCTTCAGACCCATTCATTCATTCACTGTGGATGCACGTCCCTCAGGTGTCCAACACTCAGTAATTCCATCTTGAGCTCATTACCTTCTCCCCAAACAGGCTTCTCTTCCAGTGGGTCCCTAACTTGAGGAATAGCATCGGCACTCATCAGCTGCAGGAAGATGCCCTTGTAAGGAGACGACTCAAAACTAGATCTGGGCTGGGCATGGTGGCTCATGCCTGTAATCTCAGCATTTTGGGAGGCTGAGGCTGAAGGATCACTTGAGCCCAGGAGTTTGAGCCTGGGCAATATAATGAGACTCCATCTCAATAAAAAACCAAACCAAAACAAACCAAAAAACAAACCAAAACCAAAACCAAATCAAACCAAACCAAAACCCTAGATTCAGAAGCTAAACCTAATTACCTCAAGTGCTAAACAAAAAACATTCATGATGAAGGTCAGAATGGGTGGGAGGGGACTGTGGCAACACTGAAGGTCACAGGCCAGCCTAGGGAGGGTCCAGAGGCTTAACTCCAGCTGATTAGAACCATATGGTATCACAGGCTTAGACTGACAAATTGGAGGCTTTTGTGAAAGAAGCTAGAAAGTTGGGTTTCAACTTGAAACTTCTACATTTTAAGTGTGGATAATCAATCAAATTTAAAACAAAACAATGTAAATGAAACAAAATATGTGGCCGGGGGCAGTGGCTCACACCTGTAATCCCAGCACTATGGGAAGCTGAGGCAGGTGTATCACCTGAGGTCGGGAGTTTGAGACCAGCCTGACCAACATGGAGAAACCCCATCTACTAAAAATACAAAACTAGCCAGGTGTGGTGGCACATGCCTGTAATCCCAGCTACTTGGGAGGCTGAGGCAGGAGAATCACTTGAACCCTGGAGGCAGAGGTTGTGGTGAGCTGAGATCGTGCCATTGCACTCCAGCCTGGGCAACAGGAGTGAAACTCTGTCTAAAAAAAAAAAAAAAAAAAAAAAAAAAAATGCTCGTTGGGCTGTTATTTTGCAATCTCTGTTCTTGACGGATAGTATCTACTTTTATTCAAGAACAATTTTTGTTTTTCAGAAACAAATTGAATTTTAACTTTTGGAAATCTAGTTTAGCTAGTCACAGCTATTTGTGTAAAAATTTCAACAATGTATGCATCTCCATCTTTACATTAATGTGTGTATTATAAACACACTAACCAAGCTGATGGAAAAACCTTTAAGAGACCCAAGAATATTTCCCTGAGAACTAGTTAGTCAGATAAGATCCCCTTTATTTTATCAGAAAAACTGTCCAGGTTGTAAACTACTCATAACAATCCATTACTTTCTGTGATGTTAAATCTGGTGTTGTGTGTCTGAATGTGCAAATGTTGCAGAGCACAGCCTGAAGGCAGAAGGCCTGGCCTCGGATGGACCTGGTGTTGAATCTGTTGACTCTTGTGGCCTTCCAGCAATTATAACTTGACTTTTGGGTAAACACATCAATTTCCATGACAGCTGATTCTATCACATAAAATAGATGAAATACATTTTTCATTTAAATTGGTTTTCATAATTACAAGATTTTCAAAACCAATCCATGGGAATGGTGAAACTTTCATAAAAATAATTGCCTCAGCAGCCAACTTATTTGCATAACTTGTTTTGTTTGCAAAGACTTGAGAAAATTCACATAGAACAATTTCTTCTGGTGAACTTTCAACTTTGGCACTTTCAAAATTTTTAATAAATCTCCACCTAAAGTAAGGCAAGTCAGCTTTCTCCAGCACCATGCCTGTATGCCTGTATGTATAATCCCAGCTTGTCTGTTGAATACAAAGCAGTAAGAATGTTGGAAGAGCTGGTGAAGATTATGCTGGAAACTGAAGTGAAATGACCTCCATGTAGGTGTGCTTACATTGGTTGGGCATATGGTGTTACTTTGTCTTATAAGCACATAGATTTAAAAACAGGCTTTGGGCCGGGCGCGGTGGCTCAAGCCTGTAATCCCAGCACTTTGGGAGGCCGAGACGGGTGGATCACGAGGTCAGGAGATCGAGACCGTCCTGGCTGACACGGTGAAACCCCGTCTCTACTAAAAAATATGAAAACTTAGCCGGGCGAGGTGGCGGGCGCCTGTAGTCCCAGCTACTCGGGAGGCTGAGGCCGGAGAATGGCGTGAACCCGGGAGGCGGAGCTTGCAGTGAGCTGAGATCCGGCCACTGCACTCCAGCCTGGGCGACAGAGCGAGACTCCGTAAAAAAAAAAAAAAAAACAAAAAACAGGCTTTGATATTAACTTATTCATAAGTAGAAGAGCTTCTATAGTTGCAAATGATAATGATGTTTGTGTTTAACCACACCTCACTCTGCTATATCTCATGATTTTCTTTCATGGAATAGAGATGGCAAGAGAGGACTTATTATCCATTTTGCAGAAAAACAAGGTCATGCAATAGTGGTCTTCAGTGTGTTAGAATCTGGCATATAACACAGTTGCTTGTATATTTTAATTATATTGTAGGTTTATTAAAATGTGACAGCATACATAAAAGTGAATTATGAATAATACACTTGGCACATTCTACTCACCAATGAGGTACATGCCAATCCAGTCCCCAGCGTCCACTTCCTCCTTTATGTCCCAGTGGATGACCAGGTCCTGAGAGTGCCCAATGGAGTAGTAGGAGCTGCTGACCATGAGCGTGGAGCGGCTGTCCGAGGTGACCAGGTCGGTGTCGCTGGTGGAGCGGGGAATGGTGACGCCATCATGGGGGCCGCCCCTGAGGTCCATGTTGTGGAACTGGTCGGGATTGTAGCTGTATCGGAGAGGCTCCTTGCACCGGCGTCGGCTCTGGGAGTTTCTAGAAGGAGACGCCATGGCGGCCAGGCCTAAAAACCTGTTCTGGTACAGATTCTGTGGGAGCAAAGAGACAGTGAGCAGGGTCAGGGCACGCCGGCCACTCAGTTGCTGTCATCACAGGAAAATGAAGTATGTGCTGGGAGACACACGCTGTGAGTGAGCTGCCCTGCTGGGCAGATCTGAAACATGGCATAGAGCATCTTCCTCGTGACAAAGGCTGCAGCTCTGGGTTCACACAGGGACAGCAAGAACAAAAACACGAGTGCACCAGGGTGTCCTGCGTTTCCATGCTCTGTTGGAGTCTCTGCCTCTCCTGGCTCTAACCCACTTGATACCAGAAGGACTGGGATGTGTAGAACGACCCTGAAGGTGTGACTATTCCTCAACCAAACACCATCCCTCGAGTTCTCCAACGTCAATTACATTGGATCTGATTTGATCCTTCTTTAAGGCAAACGACGATTATCATTATTAACCTCTGAGTGATCCCTGTAGCATTCAGGTCCCTACACACAGCCCAGAATTAGAAGTGGTCCCTGCTGGGAGAGGCAGTCACTCCTCCATTTACAATCTTTCACTCTACAGAATGCCTTCGGGCTGTATGAAGTTTCTATGAAGGATTTCAAACATTCTAGTACGCTTTGAACACCACGATTTTCAATAAAATCCAATCTCAGAGGACTGTATCTCCCTTGGAGCCAGTGTTAGTGTAGAAAACATTGATGAGAAAAAGATGCATTTTTGTATTGTTTACAACTTTGAGCACTTAAAATGAGCCAAGCTGATGCAGAGCAATAACTCGTTTTGGGCACAGATAACTCTGAAAACACAGAAGGACGGGCAGCATATAGAACTCACACAGAGGATTGGTTTTTGAAACAAGCAAGGGTGATTCTGACTTCATCAAAGTATACTAAAATTGCGTTTAAATGAACATTTTTGGGGGGTCCTGGTTATTGAAGTTCATGTTGTTCCATATGTAGTTTTCAAGAAGAAAAGATTAAGGCCTAAAAAAGTGTTGACTCATGAAGTTTAGATCCCAGGAACTGTAACTTATTATGCACCTAATCAAATGCAAATTATTGACTTTTTGTTTATCAGCCATGATGAGCAGACTACAGCAACAGTGTACTCTTTCAGTTACATCAACATAGTTAGCGGTAATTTAGGCCTGCACTTTCTCCATCCTCTAAGACCAGGATGTTGTAAAAAGTCTATCAGCCTGAGAAAGCACAGTGTTGGCATTCGGAGTCTTGGTCCTCTATGGCCATAAGCCTAAGGCAGGCCCTTTCACTCATCTGTGTCTCCTGTTTGGAATTCCTTTGGCCCTACTGGTGGTTGCTGTAGAATTATGACGGGCAGGCAAGCCAGACTGCAAAAAGCATCTCATCACCCTACTGGGACCATATTTCTTATTTTTTCAAAATGCTTGTCACTATAGCAGTATGAAAATAGATGGACCATGGTGTTGCCTGGAAACCGTCCCTCCTCTCAGGAACACAGGCAAAGCGCTGAAGACCAGGGAAGCAGGAACCACCCACCTATCTCAAGGCACCATAGCTATTCTGGGCAGTTCAGGGAGGATCTCAGTAAACTGACACCCCTCCAGGAGGCGCTGACCAGAGACCTTTGTAAAATCCCCAGAACAGAAAGGCTGCTGCAACAGCACAAGGTTTGTTTAGTTCCCTTAAAATAGTCTAATAAGCGGACTTATTAGTCCACTTAAAGTAGACTAATACCATCTTATAGTATTACGGAGATTCAAAATAATTATGAGTTAGACCATAATCAAAGCTGAGGCAACACCTACCAGCTTCCCAGTTGTGGGTCTATCCCTGGACAATTTAATCTTTCTGGACCTCGGTTTCCTCCTCTGTAAATGGGCTGTTGTCAGAATTTAATGAGACAGTGCAAGTCAAGTTCTTAGTATAGTACGTGCTCAATAAATAAAAATCTCCTGCTAAGATACTACTGGTAATGCTTTAGGAAGGAAACCTCACTGAGACATAGGGCCTGGGCACTCAGCCAGGCTCCGTCACTGAACAGGCTTCCTTCACGCCACCCCAGAGTCCTCACTCTTAAGTTCATGCATTAAATTCAAGAAACCCTCAGGTTTTCTTACAAAATCAAAGTACCAAGGGTTAAACAGCCTAGTGTATTTGTAAAGGTGCTCCATAGACCGGTGTTCAGGGGAGAGGCTCCTTTATTTGTAAGGTTTACGACTGAGTAGGATATTTCTGCATTAATGATGAAGAGCCTAAGATAAAGATTTTTATGTATGTGGTTTCCATCAGGGCCTCAAAAGGATTATAGGGTGTTTCTCTTTTGCTGAAGACAACAATTCTGCTATTGCATTTTTACTAAAATCCCCTGGAAACTAGAGAACTCTCCTGAAACTGTCAAATTACGGCAGTGATCACTGTCCACACGGCGAGAGCAAAGGTGGAGAAGGGAACATTCGTCAAAGAAGACATTTGTCAGCAATTACTGGATTGGAATGATGACATTTGCCAGGGATAAGCAGGGCAGTCTCAAAGCTGTCCCTTGCACCCCACCCTCTCCCACCACCCTGTCTTTGCACACATCCTCCCCATTCCTACTTGCAGGCAGGATCTGCACTTCTGCGTCAGAATTATGCTCCAGCACCAACTCTGCTGTAACTGCTCCTTGCCTCCTTCCCATTCCCAAAAGTGGAACTTTCTGCTCCGTGATGCACAGGAATCCCATTCCCCTGCAGGGATTCTTAGGTACTGTTGCTAGTTGATCTGTCCACGTTCACTCCTACACTGTGAAGTTTTCTCCTCTGTATATCCCCTGTACCTTGCATAATTCCTGGCACGAAAAACCCCCAAAGCTTTAATTTATAGAAATTATTTTATTCAATGATATCCCTTCTCATTCCAGAAAGGGTTTAAGATGGCTTATAAAAATAGATAAAAAGGCCAGGAGCGATGGTTCAGGCCTGTAATCCCAGCACTTTGGGAGACCGAGGCAGGCGGATCACCTGAGGTCAGATGTTCAAGACCAGCCTGGCCAGCATGGTGAAACCCTGTCTCTACTAAAAGTACAAAAATTAGCCGGGCATGGTGGTGGGTGCCTGTAATCGCAGCTACTTGGGAAGTTGACACAGGAGAATTGCTGGAACCTGGGAAGCGGATGTTGCAGTGAGCCAAGATTGTGCCACTGCACTCCTGGGCAACAAGAGTGAGACCCTGTCTCAAAAAAAAAGAAAAAAAAAAAAAGAAAAAATACAGAAAGGCATGATAATTTAGTAGTAGATGGTACATAGAGAGAAGAAAATAAAGATATGAACACAAAGTTATGTAGGAAGGAGGTGAACTTAAAATTATATTCCATCATGTTCAAAACAGGTTTTTATTAAAGACTCACAACAGTTGCTCCTTTTTATTTTTAATTTCCCAGCTTTATTGAGGTATAATTGACAAATAAAATTGCATGATTTTAAGGTGTACGATGTGAAGATTATATAGACAGAAATATATAATATATATTATATACAATATGTAAGTATATATATTTCACTGTATATAGTGAATATGTGTAATATATATAGTGAAATGATTACCACAATCAGGTTAGTTAGCACATCCATCCCGCACCTAGTTACCCCATTTTTATTTTATTCTGTTTTGGTTTGTGGTGAGCACATTTGAGCAAACGTCAACAGTTGCTTCTTGAACACAGCAGGTGGATAGAGCTGATTGCTCAACATGCAATTCCTTTGTGGCTATGTTTCTCCCAGGCATTCACAAGTGTTTCTAGCATATACTATAGACTCATCAGGCTGGAAGAAGCAATTTAATCATTCTCTCTTCACATCTGAACTGTGGGAGATAGATGAAGCTCTGTCCTGTTTTTAAATAGCCCTGGATAAAAGGCCACTCTCTTCCTAGACAGTGATTCCAATGTCTTACAACTCCGCCATTCTTCCTAACCTCTAAAGCAGATCTCCCCACCAGGAGACCTCCTTTCTTTTTCCTCTCTGCAAAGGGTGGCCCTCCCGATCTCTGTATGTATGGGAAATCAGTGGATATCACTAAATTTCTCCCAGCCTTTTCTCCAACCCACTAATAACTCAAGTATCTTTCGTCTTCTTTTCCCTTTGGTGATAAACAATAGGAACTGATAGGAGGACCACAAGAATATCAGCAATAGTTTCAGTAACACTGTAATTTTCCAGTTATTGGTTGTAATCACGTGTCCCTAGTTACGGGCTATGTCAAGCATAGATTTTAGCTGACCCTTGAAAAAGTGGGTCTGATGAGTGAGCCTCTGAGAGCAATTTAAATACACTGTACAAACTGCCCTGCTTTATAGGGAGTAAATACCATCTGCTGGTTTTTTTTTTCTTCCTATTTGTAGCAGAGGACCCACCAATGTTGTGTTTATTTGTTTTACTTTCCAACTTAAACATCGTAATTGTTGAAATGTTTTGAATTAAGTGATATGCTCTTTGTTGTTTTTCTTTTTTTCTTAATCTTGGAACAGGCCTTGTGGGTTTAATATGTTTTAAGATATTCTCATGGAGTATAGCACATTAACAAAAATAAAACCTGTAAAAAAACCCAGAATCTTAAAAGCAGAAAATCATCACTTCTAGGGATGGAACACGTTATTATGCATCGATTTTTTTTTTTTTTAAGAACCTGGAGACAAAAGATTCTGCTCTGTCAGTTTCTATCTAACTAAGTCATTAATAGCGTTTCTGTCTTGCAATATAAAGCCGTGAGTGAGTGCCATCTCAGAAATGAAAAGAAAGCAGACAAAGGCATGTCTATAATAGAGTAAATGACTCTTAAAAATTGCCTCTACACCAAGGAATCAAAAATTGTTAGTGAAATACACAGCCCTTGAAGGAAGCTTCATTAAAGTATATAAGATGAGGTTATAGAAACTGGCATTATTTAGTTGGAAGAAAGAACGTAATACTTTTTTAGTCCATGAGCAGATTTTACTTTGATCAAGAAGACGCCTGCAGCTTCTTGCTCAAAGCTATCCTGCACTCGGCTTTGTTATGACACCAGGAGGGTAAT